GGGGGGGGGGGGGGGGGGGGGGGGGGGGGGGGGGGGGGAGAGAGAGAGAGAGAGAGAGAGAGAGAGAGAGAGAGAGACAGACAGACAGACAGAGAGAGAGGGAGAGAATGCAGGCGGGACTAAGCACGTCGAGCGGGTGGGAGTAGGCCCGGGGCGTAGCGAGTAGGCGGAAGCAGGATCGTAGGCCTGGAGTGGCCGTAGGCATGTCGAGTACCGGCCGCCCCCAAAAACCCGACCACAAAAAATGACCAAAAACAACCGAAAAACTAAAAGAAAAAGCGGAAGGGGCGTTTGGGCGGGCCGAACCGGTATCGCACGGCCCAGATTGCGGGCCGGTCACCACCTGCGGACGGCCCAGATCGCAGGCCGATGAGAAAAGTTTCTCTTTCTCATCGGCCTGAGATCTGGGCCGTCTGTGGTGACCGGGCCGCAACCTGGGCCGTGCGATATGACATTCTCGATTCTTATAGTATTGTAGATGTAGATGTAGATGTAGATTGTAGATGTAGATGTAGATTGTAGATGTAGATGTAGAAGCCCAGCAATGGCCGTCTGAAGTCTCAGGCTATGGTGCCAAGGTAACTCCTCTGCCCTACACCTCTACCGCTGCAGACCTCCAGTCTCACCAGTCCTCTCTTCACGAACGCTACTACACCGCCCCTGTTTATTCCCTCGGCACTGACTCCCCCAAAGCCTCTGCATAACGATGGCTAGTGGTCGTCTTCCTCGATTACCCCGCCTTCCTTCCTCCTGCTATTGCTCGATACTCTTCATCATCATTCCTCTTCTCTAATCGCCTTTCTTACACAAAAGAGGGAAAAAATATGGCTTTCCTTACTAATTTCTTATCACAGAGCTGACCATGCCCTGTTTACCCCTTACTCTCCCTCCCCCCACCTTCCCCCCCACCGGCCCTGCCTAACCATCGCTACATTGCATTCTCCTCCCCCCACCTAGCTCCCCCTACATCCCTGCCAAACCATGGTCAGTAGTTGTCTTCCTTGCCTTCCTCCTCTGCATTCTACTACCTAGCTGTTGCTCCTCTTCCTCCTCCTCCTCCCCCCCCCCCCCCTCCTTTCCAACAGAGTGCTGATATGTCCGAAGGCCATCTACACCATGTTTCATAAGAAGCCCTCCCTGGTCATGATTACCAACATCTCTCCTGCCAGATATGACGGGCAGCTCAGCAATCTCCGCCTTCATGACAACAAGAAAACGGTCAATCGTCATCGTCATCAGCATCAGTCAAAATAGTGCCTGCACCTTTCCGAGCCCTCGAATGCAAACAAGAGCCAGACTCATCGTCATCATCATCATCATCATCATCATCATCGTAAATCCCACTGCCTCTTCTCCTCCCATTCTCTATTCCCAGAGCCATCATCATCATCATCATCATCATCATCATCATCATCATCATCATCATCATGGTAAACCCCACTGCCACTTCTCCTCCCATTCTCTATTCCCAGATCATCGTGATGCTCCACTTCCCACGTCATCATCCAACCAACCCCCCTCCTCCTCCCCCTCCTCCCCCCTCCTCCTCCTCCTCCACCACCTCCTCCGTCTCTCCCGTGTGCACAGCTATTCCTTCATGTCCTTTTCACTGCCCTGTGCCGAATTGCCTCGTCCATTTCCTTCCCTAGCCAGCAATGCTTGTTCTGCACTCTCGGAGTTTCATAAGCATTGCCTCCTCCACCTGAAGATAATGGATCTCCTTACCTACCTTAGCCTGCATCTCATGCAACATCGCCGCCTCTTCCTCAAGATTACTTAATAGCTATTGAGTTCTTAGATTGTCAACAGAAGACCGATGGTCATACATGGTAGGGAGCTCTGCTTCGCACGAACCACTGAACACCAGACAAAACTCTCCGCTCCTGTGCAATAGGAGAGAAAAGAGAGAGAGAGAGAGAGAGAGCAATCGCCGTCACCACAATCGAAGGTCATACAGGGCTATGCTTATCACTAACCAAAAACACCATACAAAACTCTCCACTCCACAGCAAGGGGCGAGGGCGAGAGGAAGGAAGAGGGAGAGGGAGAGAGGGAGGGAGAGAGGGAGAGAGAGAGGGCAATGACCATCAACACAAGATCGGCAGTCACGCATGGCTCTCCCAGAGGAGAGAGAGAGAGAGAGAGAACAGAGGGAAATCATCGTCATCACGAGCGGGGGAAAAGCAAGAGGAGGAGGAGGCTTACGAAGCATCCCTCTCCTCGAGAAACACTGGAGACAAACTTCAAACTTGTGTGACAGAACAGCAGACATGTGAGAGAGAGACCGAAAATGTGCGCGTGTTCATGAGACAGCGAGAGAGGAAGACAAAATGTGTCTGAGAGAGAGAGAGAAAGAGAAAATCGGTGTGAGAGAGAGGGAAAGAAATGCGCGAACAACAGCTACACTATGTGCACTCTCAATGTATGTAAGAGTACACGTTTATCGTGCTCAGATATGTTTATTCTTTTTTTATATGTTTATCCTGCTCAGATATATTTGTCCTTCTGAGATATGCTTATCCTGTTCAAATCTGTGAATCCTTTTCAGCTATCTTTCTTCCAAAAGTATCTCTTGTTCTATTCAGTTTGCGAAGTACAATTGTTCACAACGTTTCAGATCAGATTGGCTTCTGTTCGCACTTCCTTCACACAGTCTCCCCCAAACAGCCGCGAAGATGTTAATGCCACACAGCGTGCATAAAGGTCAGAAGTCAGAGGAGATAAGGGAACAGCGGGAGAGAGGAGCACAACAGGAAAGAGAGGGAAAGAGAAAGACAGAGGACGGGGGAGAACGTCAAACAAGTACAGACCAGGCATAAGGGGGGGAGAAACATGCGGAAACAGAGAGAAAGCGAGCGAGAGAGAGAGAGAGAGCAACAGCCAAGGAGAAACACAGGAGCCGGCAGACAGCAACATAGATTAATCGATCAGATGGTTATTTCGGAGGCACATCGCAGGAGGCACAGAGAGAGAGAGAGAGAGAGACGCAGCAAGGGAGAGACATACGTAACAGGTTGACCATAACAGATGGTCAGCGACAGGCAGATTGATCATGGCCGTTCCCCTAGGATGTTGCCAGGGATGTGTACTCTCTCTCTCTCTCTCTCTCTCTCTCTCTCTCTCTCTCTCTCTCTCTCTCTCTCTCTCTCTCTCTCTCTTGTGTGCGCGCGCGCATCAACTGGCTCCCCGCTGCAGCGACAGACAGATCACACAAATTGGTGGTGTCAAGACGGCAAGAGATAAATTCAATGGAATCGCGATCCCAGCGCGCTCGCGTGGCGAGGCCAATGGGATCCCCGCTGGAGCGACCGACAAGATTGATCGAACAGACAAATGACACCAATCACCTTCTCCACCCTAATAGAACGTACGGTCATTATAGCTGTATTTGGGGTATCTTTCAGTCTAAATACAGCAATATTGACCGTACGCTGTATTCGGGTGAAGAAGGTAGTCGTTCCACGTGGTGAAACCGCAAGAGAGTCGGATGGAAAGGACAGAATCGCGGTCCCGGGCGATCAGTTTTATCCGGAGACGACAGAACAACAACTCAACAAATGGAGAGGCACAGAGAATGGCAGCACTTCTTAAACGAAATCTTTTTGAAAAGCTCTTAACCAGTTGTAAGGCCGCCTGGAAGGACTTCTTTTTGGGTGATAAACCCTACCAATGGCAATGCAGCCTGGAAGGACAGGACTTCGGAAGGTAATCCCTGGGGAACAAAACGTATAAAGAGTGATGACACGTGGCAGATGGAGAAAGAGGTTCTGATCGGAGTGTGACATGTGGCAGATGATGAAAAGGGATCATACGCAAGAAGGAAGCGACAGAATTATACTACCCTTGACACGGTGGCAGATGAGAACTCCCTCACCTGTCAAGTCGACTGCACGTTGCAGATCAAGTCGACTCAAGTTGGGTTCTTTAATCACCCGCCACAACTTCAAGCCCCCAAAAAATGTTGTCGCCCTCCTGTACCCTTCTCTCTTTTTCTTTTTTTTCGGATATCCTGGAGGGGGTTGGTTCCTAGGAGTAACGAGGTGGGATAAAAGTAGTTCGTGTGGCAGTAGAGCGACCCGAGTCTGCCCAGCAACGACTTGTGATCCCATAGTCCGTGGTCTGTTTTCACACGTATTTCGTGGAAAAAAAGAAGAAAGAGACCTCTCAGTTCCCCTCCTCTGTTTCCACACTGGTCTTGTCGGGGCACAGAAAGCTTCCTGCCGAAATTCGCGTGAATTTTACATTCCATTCTCATCTTCGCGCCGTTTCTGCCCGTGGCAACGAGGTCCAAATCGATTCCAATACAAGCATTGCACACATCCGCACGAATTTGGTCGACGGCAATGAGCTCCAATTCAATTGCAAGCCGGCATCGAGTAACCAGCCTCTGAATACTTCAGTGTCGTTATCAATCGTATTCTGTGAGTTCCATAATCGCACTCATCAGTTTCCATTGAAATGGCCCCCAATCATCCCGCATCCCTTTCCCCCCTCTCATCATCATCATCATCATCAGCAGCAGCAGCAGCAGCATCTCATCGCCTCCCTAGACCGCAATCTGCCTCATTTCTATCGTGCAATTCTTTGATCGGGAACCTCTGGTGTCACGTCATCTCCGCACCTGGGCGGCAAATCCTTCCTGTTGTGTTAGGCATTTTTTACACAAGGAATACCGGCGAGTCAAGCGCACTTCGGTCTTCCGCCAAAGGAAAAGCATGGTCATTATCGCTGTATCTGGCCTGAAAAATGCCTAAAGCACACACAGCTATGATGATGACCACCATGCTTTCTGTTCTGCGAAGCGGGGTCGAACATGCTTGAAGCATAGGCGGTAGAAATGATGAAACACATGAACGAAGGCATGGGAGACACTTGAAGAGGCGCTGCGATACTGCCGAGGATCATGCTCTTGTTTGTCGAGAGGAAACCGGGGGACGCGATGTTCTAACAACGCAGAGTGGATGAGGAAAGGTGGAGGGCAGGAGAGACGAGCAACTCACCAGCGACTATGACCGCATCTGTATTCGCTCCTTGCGCTTGACATGCCGGGACGAGGCTGGCCATGGCGATTGTGCAGGCGAAGAGTAGAAACCTCCACCCATTCTACGATGCTACCTCCATCGACCGTCGATCAAGATGCCGCTGCACGATAGCAGCACAAGCACGTGACGGAAAATGCAATCACGCCTGTTATTGGGGCAATCCCGCGCCGAGTACAAAACGCTACGACACACCCCGTCAGTTTTCGTCGGGAAGGCACCGTTTTGTCATTGGTTTTTGTCATTGGTTTTTGTCATTGGTTTTTAGTTGCTAGTCCGTGTCACGGTGTGGGACTGTTAGGAACTGTCTATTGTATTTTCAACGGACTGTGGGATTATGCATCCCGCCATTTAGGGCAGGGAGCCGTAAGGCTCCGTTTTGTCATTGGTTTTTAGTTGCTTTAGGGGTCCCGTGTGGAATGGAGGGAGAGGCAATACGGTGCAGTATATGAACCTCTTCTTTTTGGCATAGAATACTATTCCTTTTTTGCCCCCTCACTCCACTGTTCTGTGGACATGCACAAAAGACAAATATCATGGTAAGTCTCATGGCCTAGCTGCACTACTCTGCAAATGTGCAAAATGAGACTGAATCCACTGCCAGAACACCGAAAGATACATTGGCATTTTTTTATTTTATTTTTAAAGGTAAGCTATATTCTTCTCTCATCTATCTCAGTTTTTCTTTTTTTTTTCAATATCTCAGTTTTTTTTTGCTGCCTTCTCCTCATCAGGGGACAGCCATATATTTTTCTCTCACCTCACATATCTTTCTTTTAAATCACCAGTACCTCGATCAGCTATAGGCCCCGGGCCTTCCCGTATACGCGCCGCAGCCTCAGGGGGGTCGGCCAAGGGAAGGCCCGGTCGTAGCGCGGACGGCGGGCCCCACTTCTGTAGGGATGACACATTAGTGAAAAAAAAAAAAAAGAAAGAAGGAAAAAAAAAAAGAAATACACAAACGACGAAAAAACAACGGGAAAAACAGCTAAGTCACATGCACGCGCGCGCGCGCGCGAGAGAGAGAGAGAGAGAGAG